AGCGGGAACGGGATTGGGAGCGGGAACGGGAACGGGAACGGGAACGGGAACGGGAATGGAACGGGAATGGGAATGGGAATGGGAATGGGAATGGGAACGGGAACGGGATTGGGAGCGGGAATGGGAACGGGACCGGGACGGGAATGGGAATGGGAATGGGAATGGGAGCGGGAATGGAACGGGAATGGGAACGGGAACGGGAATGGGAATGGGAGCGGGAATGGGAATGGGAATGGGAATGGAACGGGAATGGGAACGGGAATGGGATGGGATAGGGAATGGGAATGGGAACGGTATCAGAACAGGAACAGGACAGGGACGGCATCAGGATCAGGATCAGGATCGGGAATGGAAACGGGATGGGAACAGGAACAGGATCTGAATAGGAATGGGATTGGGAAGTGGAAGGGGACTGGGATAGGAAAGGGGTCGGGGTGGGATCGGGACCGTGCTGGGGAATGGGATCAGGATGGGGAACAGGTTGCCCAGAGCAGCTCTGGCTGCCCCTGGATCCCTGGAATGTCCAAGGCCAGGTTGGATGGGGCTTGGAGCAGTGTGGGATAGAGGGAGGTGTCCCTGTCATGGCAGGGGGGGCACTGGAGGGGCTTTGAGGTCCCTCACAACCGTTAACACTCTGTGAGTCTGTGATTCCATGATCCTGTTGGGCCCCTTCCCACTCAGGATATTCCGTGATTCCCGGGGCTCCGGGAGGAGGCTGGAGGCCCCACTGGGATGGGCGCTGCGAGGGTCACTGGTGACACTGGGGGAAAGCCCCGTCGCCACAGGAGTTGGGCTGGGAACTGGGGAATGTCACCAGAACCCCAGGGAGGGACACCACGGCCACCCCAGAGCATCCTTGGAGTGCCCGATGGAACTCTGTGATTCCCAAGGCTCCTTCCAGTGGCTGTGGACCACTGGGATCTTGGGATGGGGTGGGACAGGTGCTGCCCCAGGGATCCTCTGCTGTTCCACACCACACGTCCAGGGACAAAAAGGCTCTTGGAGAGCTCAGCCCTGCAAGTGGCAGCAGCATCCATCATAAATCCCGTGGGAGAAGGGGTGGGAAACGCTCCTGAGACACCACAGAGCTCATCCTGCAGTGCACACACCGAGGGCAAACCCATCTCAGGAGAACCAGTGAGGAATGGGCAGGAATTTGGGATGTGGCTGATCCTGATCCAGAGCTGTGGAGAGCTCCCGGCCTCTCCTCATTAACCACGAGCTGCTGGAAGAGCCAGTGAGGGCGAGGGGAGCTCCCTGCTCACAATCCCAGCAGTGCCAGGGCCTTTTCCACACTCCAGCCCTGACCTTGTGGGAATATCTGTGGGGAAGGGTTCAGTTTCCAAAGCAGAAACTTTTTTTTATGAGGCCGAGATGTTTCCATTCTATTTGAGCCGCTCGCCCGCAGCGATGTTCCCGTACACTCGTTGGACTTCCCACGTCATCTACTCCAGGCTCCCCAGGGACAGGATTCAGGAAGACAAAAAACCCAATCCTTACAAAATATCCCCAAAGTGAAAAGTCCTCCTTACAGGCTTGCCATGAATGGCAGTGCTTTAAAATTAGGGACAGGAAATGCAGAAATTGTGGAGTCTGTACAGTGTTTGACCAGATTGAAGTAAGTATTTAAATGTTCATCTCTCTTACATCCCAAAATAGAATCAAAGATGATTTATCACAGCTGTTGCAGCAGAATCTGAGGACATTTCCTTGCCCTTTGTCCTCAGGATCAGAACAACTTGGTGCTGAGTAGAATTATGGGGCTAAAATCGTGGTTTTGTCCCCGAATGTCTTCAGAGGTCACTGCTGGAGCACAGAGATGCACTTTTGATTCATTTAAACTCAGCAAGGTGGAATTCAGAGCACACAGAGCACACCACACTCATTCCTGGCTCTTTCTTATCTCCTCCTCTTTTGCCTTTCCCAGCTTGGAGGAATTCAGTTACTGGGAGCAGAAAGGTGGTTCAAAGACAATTTTTGTTGAGTGCAGTGTGAGAAGTGACCTTTGGGCCCCGAGTTTGCAATAAAGAGGGGCAGAGAGAGCTGCAGGGATCAATTCTTGTTGGCTGGAGTCAATTCAGGGCTGTGAGAATGAGCCACCAGCCACAGGTTTGGTCTCAGCATCTGCCACAGCCCCTGGCATCTCCCCACAGCCACGTTTCCCATTTCTGCTCCAAAAAAACCCCTGTTTCTCCTTCCACATCCCCCTAACATCGATATATTCTATGAAAGATGTGCCAGAGGCAAATGGAATGGTTACAAATGGACTTCTGGAGGAAAAATTTCTACCAGAGCTGGGCAGAAGGAGAAACATTTTCCCAACGTGCTGGGGTGTTAGCAAGGTCTCTCTGGCTCTGCTCATCTCTTACTCCTTTTGTACAATGCATGAGGAATAACTACAACCAGTTTTAAAGCATTCTGACATCCTCCTGTGACAGGCACTGTGGTCATGGCAAATATTTTTATTTTTAGCAAGCTTCGTCTCCAAAGATGTGTAGGAGGGCCAACAACAATATAAATAGAAAATCATCTAAAAAACAGATCCAAAAGCAACACAGAGCAGTAAATAAATCTGTAAAAAATTGGGTGTGGAAATAACAATCTCTGTGCACCGTGCAAAGGCACAGATCTTTGCATGAGCAACCCAAGGGGTGGTAAAGTGAAACCTCCAGAACCAGTCAAATGTTCCCAAAGCCGCTCTCAGTTTTGCAAACATTCCCCCTCTAATTCAAGCTCTTGTTTTTCCAAGAGAATTTGAATTTTAAACATGGGTTTCTTAGCTAAAATAAGCCCATTGTGCACAAACAATGAGTATCTCCTTTAAAAACAATTGTTATTCCACATGCCAAGGGTTATACAGTCTCAAAGAGGGTGAATCTTGTGTGGCTTTGCTCTGTGAAAAGGCTGCTCTGGCAATCTAGAACATCAGACAAGGCTTGAAAACCTCTGGGTTTGATCCTGTATTTTACTTGAATCCTTTCAGGATTAAAGCCTCAGAGTTGAGAGGAGGGAGGAGCTTGACAGCAGATTGAGAACTTTGGGAGAATGCATTGCTTTTTTTTATTTGTACTAAAATCCCTTCTCTCTGCACAGAGATTCCTGCTCTGCTCGTGGTGGAAGGAACTTTGGGGAGAAGCACAAAAAGCCTGGGCTGGTGCAGAAGAAATTCATGTTGAACCATATTAGCAAAGGAACTCGAACTCCACTGGTCTGCTTCCAGCACGCAGCCTAAAACTGCTTTCACATTTGTTTTAAGCAACCAGAAGCCCTCAGAGCTGCCAAAAGCAGCAGTTGAACATTTCCTCCAGCACTGCTGTCTCATTCCTGCCCCCACACATCCCCTCTCCTGTGTCAGCAGCAGATCCAGCCCTGCAAGGCCATGGAAAAGCTTCCCCAGCCCTCCTCACCCAGCAGCTGCTCCGTGCCTGGGACTCCTGATCTGAGAGTGCCACATCCAAGCTCAGCATCATTTGAGCACAGTTTGCATTCTTTTTGTCTGCCTCCCGTTCATCCACACCAAAGCTCACCCTCCACCTGCCTCTGGCTCCCTTTTGTGTTCCTGAGCACCACATTTGGTTTCCCAAAACGATTTTTAATTATTATTTTTTTCTTTTCAGTTGAGTGTGCCTCCCTCTTGGAACAAGCCAGCAGAGCTGTTTTCTTCTAGGAATGTCTTTGCTCAGATAGAATATTCTTCATGCTCTGTCTGAGCTTATCTGGCTTTTTTTTTCCCCTGGGCTGGAGCTCTTCTGGCCACCTAGAAGCTGACAGATCTATGACTGGTTTTGGAGGAGGACTTATTGTGATGAATGTTTTTATATTACTCACTAACATATGCTTTTAATAGCAAATGGTAACAAAGGTTCCAGCACTCAGAGAGGCAGACAGTGACTTACTGCTGCTAACTAATCCCAAATTTATCACTGTCCAGCGCCATAACACATTTCAAAGTGCTGATCTATTAATTGACCACAAGATTTTGAGCTTTTTTTTTTTTTTAATATTCCTCACCCTCTCATTTTGCCACTTCTTACAAAACCTGTGGGAGATTAAAGCACCCTGGTAATGAAATTTCCTGGTTTTTTTTTTTTGTTTTTTTTTGTATTGGTTTGTTTTTTTTTTTATTTCAGTGCTTGGGGTTTTGCAAAAATCTGGAAGGAAATTGAACCTGGATGATTTGCAAACCATTCTCACAGGAGCCATATCCCAAAAGACACGAGATCCAGCAGCTCTCTCCCAGTTCCTTGAGCTGCATCAGCCTCCAGACATTTTTTCCTCCTCTTCATCAGCTGCCAGGATGGTCAAAGGAATAAATCTGGGGGAGCTTGCAGAGCCTCATCACAAACACTGCTGCACAACGAGGTTTTAGAGGGGAAATAGAACCTTGGAAAAGCTACATGTCCATAAATCTTGGGATTCTTGTGCTGATTTCACTGCACTGCTGTGTCCCAAAGCTGGATTTTCCTCAGAGCAGTTCACACTCAGCACAGGCTGGTGTGGAAGCTGGGACTGGTGCTTTGGGAAGGGCTCCAGGTGCTTTTGGGAGTGATCTGGAATTCTGAGCTGATTTCCCATGTCCTGGGAGACCAGCCTGGCTCTGGGCAGGGCTCAGGTGTGTGCTGTGGGTCACAGCAGGGCTGGCAGAGCAGCTGGGCACAGCTTGGTGGCTGCAGCCTCTCCAGTGAGCCAAACCCACCTCGTTCCTGCAGAAAAAACTCTCCATGAGCTCTGGGGGGATTTATCTTTGGGGGGCTTTGGGGGGAATTATCTTCTCCATTCCCATCCACATCTCCCACACAGCCTGACAGAATCCCCGTCCCAGCCTCGCCTCTGCTCCCTTCCCAGAAGTTTTCCAAAGACGAATGCTCCAACTGCGTTATTTTTTTTAGTTTAATTTACATCTGTTTCGTATTATTTGCAGTTCTGCTTTATCTGGGTCACTCCCTCCGCAGTGTTCTTCCCTCCCTGTTATCCCAGAGAGCTGATTGTAGCCAGTGTTCAGCTCCAGGCTGTCATCCCACAGACCTGCCAGCTGTCCTAAAACCCCACCGACTTTTCCTAGAGATGCCGTTCTCTCTTCCATTCCCTCTGAAAGACACCCGCTCCTTCCTCAGTTTCCCAGCTCTGTCACCAGCCCGAAATTCCCTTCCCCGTGTTTGTCCCACCCCGATGTTCCCTTTGAGGCTCACATCACACGGATCAAATCTATCCCGGAGGATTCCAGCTGGCATTTTGGAATATCCCACAGCTGCCTGGAAACTCCGAGCGGGGAGGGGGATGGAAAGGTGTTTGTTCTCCCGAAGAGCAGCACACAATGGCCCAGGGAGAACAAGGGAGCGAGGAGCTGGGGCCGGGGAGAAGGAGAAGGAGAAGGAATGGACAGGCAGAACCGGATTATTCAAATCGGAATTAGAGCCGAGCATGGGGGTGAATGTAGGGCGCTGAAAGCTCTCCCGTGACGGCTGTAAACCCCCAGATGAGGTTTTTTAGCACAGAAAGCAGCCGTGGGGAGGGATGGGGATGCTCGGTGCCCGGCTGCAGGAATGTCCCGCTGCCCTCGTGATTGGCTGCGGGATGCTGGAGTCAGCTTTCACGGGGGCTGATCAAAACTTCCCTTCGGCTCTCCAAAGTCGCTGTCTGAGCAGAGGAATCGGCTGGAGGAGGCCGGGCGCTCTCGCATTCCTCGGGAAAACGTCTTCAGTGGGATGAGAGAGCTTCTCGCAGCGAGGAAAGGCAGCCGGGAGCAGGCGCCGGGGAGCCGCGCTGCTGCTTTTCCCCCGCAGATCGGCTGGGATCCCTCCTGGCATGCTCCTCATCCCTGAGGATACCATGTCTCAGTATTCCACCAGCTTCCTGCTGCTGCCCATCCCGGAGTACCCCGCGCTGGACTGTGCGCCCAACAAAATCATCAAACTGGTGGTGCTGGGCGGCAGCAGCGTGGGCAAGACAGGTAAGTCACAGGTGTGTGCCCTGCTTCCCCTTCTCTGCCCAGACACAGCCAAAACTGGGAATTTTCCATCTTAACCGTTTCAATTTCCTTTCATTTTTATTCTTTTTTTTGTTTTTAAGAAAAGGCACAGGAGAATTTTTGTCAGTCAGATTTGCTGTAGGTGCGTGAGAAGCCAATGTGAGGCAGCAGAGATTTTTTGTACTCACTTCTCTGATCTGCAGTGTCTTCTCATAAAACCATCTTTACAGCTTTAAATCAGGTCTGGTTTAAAATACAAACAAAATCCCACCAGGGCTGGATCCCCTCACAGTATTAAACCACAATATGATAATGTGGGATTCAGTGCTAAATTTCCTGGTGTTGAAAATGCTCCATGAGCTCAGACTCTTTTTTCACTGGAATAAATTTCCACGCCCCAAAAGTTGGCTCCTATCCTCCTGCTGCAAAGGTTTCATGCTCTGCTGACAAATCACAGCTTACAAGATGTGCCTTTATTATTCTCCAAAGGAGAGGGGAAGAAAAGAGGGTAAAGAGAGCATTGGTGTATTTGAATATCTGGTCTGTGATTTCAGGGATTATTAAAAGCAGATTGATTTATTACATCTGTGGTTCCATGGGATTCAGCAAAATGATTGTTTTGGCTTTGAAGCAGCCACATCTTCATATTATTTTTAAATAGTTTGTTGAAGACAGCTGCACAGGCAATTTCATCCAAGGGTGCTAAAGGATGACCCAGTATCACTGTGGGAAAAATTATTGCTTGAAATTAAATCTATTATAAAATAATGTTGCTTGCAGAATAAGATATTTAATTTAACTTTTAATTAAATGGTTTTGCAAGTTACTAGGAATAAATACTACTGAGATCAAAGCACCACGGGAATATAAATTACTGTTGCCATGATGGGATTTAAATGTTTTATGCAGAAAAAGGAAAATGTTCTTATCAAGGAGTTGAAGAAAGCAGGTTAAGGTGAATAAGAAGGCCCAGGGTGCTCCAGCATGACCCAAGAGTGCAGAGCACACGGAGTTTGTTTGCTGGCTGTGATTAGATATCACTAATGGCTTTTGTGAGGGGTTTTAAGGCTGGAAAGAACCATTCCATCCATCAGCCTCACTTCTTGCCTGACATAAAATGCTTAAATTTGGATTAGCTGCGGTCTACTGCCTCGTAACTCTTCTCCTAAATTATTTCAGGGCAGAGGAGAGATTGTTTGATTTTGTGTTCATGGGGGAACAACCTCCCTGCCACCCCGAATCTCAGGGCTCATTTCCAACACAAGCTGTGAAAAACTCTGTATTAGGAGCCCCAGATCTCTGTGAGTGTCGAGAGCAGCACTTGCAGAATAACGTGTGAGCAATGCAGACATGAACTGGGTTTCACTTGAGGCTCCTCCTGCAGGAAGATGTTCCACCAGTTGTGCCCAGATGGATCTGGGTTCTCGTTAAGGACCCATCTTTTTGTCGTTGTTTTGCAGCCCTGGTCGTGCGCTTTCTCACAAAGAGATTTATTGGGGACTACGAAGCCAACACTGGTGAGTTCTGCTCTCCCCAGCAGCACTGCAGAGAGCTGGAAAAGAAATCCACTCTTTTGGGACTGGTGCACATTACAGGGAAGCCAAGTGGTGTTAGATGTCCATAAGGTGCATATTTTCAGTTAATAGCCTGGAGCTATGAAAGCAATAAATCAAAGGCTCATTATTTATGATCCTTTCAGCTGGTTTTTTTTCCCCCCAAGTTGATGGAAGAGGATCAGAGTAAAAGCTTTGCTTGGGGACATACCTATACTGAAACACAGGCTCAACGAACAATCTACACATCAACTAAAGCCTGGGAACCCAATGCTGCTCCCCCTGCAACCCCAGGGAAGGCAGAGGAATTCTGAAGGGTGTAAAAGGCAGTTCAGAACTTTTTCTGTGCATTCCCTTTATTTCAGGGGCTATTATAACCCGGGAGACTTTGAAATTGAAGCCTTTTCTCTGTAAAACAAGCAAAGAAACCATTCATTTCTTGTTTAATCCAGAGGGTGTGTTCATGTGAACTGTTCCAGGGAAACACTGACTGATTTTCCCGGTGTTGTAGATGGATCCATGTAGCCCACGCTCACCCCTACTCACAGTTTTGGGATGAAAGGTGGGCAGAATTCAGAAAACGCTTCACTTTGGAGATGCTTGCTGAGCTCAGGATGAGGAGGGAGCAGCACAGGACACCTTTGATCTGAGGAAATGCAATCTGAAAGCTCCTCCCTGCAGCTCCCCCTCACTGACCCCGAGTAACCCTGATGCTTGGCTGCACTTTTGCTCCTTCTCTCCTGTCACCTCTTCTCTGGGAGGTTGTACATCAAGTGAGACCTGGGAGCTGTGCAGTGATTGCTGCCAGAGCCAGTGCTGGGAGCCACATGCTTTTCCCATTAAGCTCCCAGGGCCACGCTGCAGGAGAAGTGAATATTCCAGCAAGAAGGAACAGGTGGCAGTGCCCTTGGGATCACTCAGCCGTGCTTCTCCTTCATCAGCAGGCAGAGCAGGAGCAGTGCCTGGCAGCTCTTTGTTCTGCAGGGCATCATGGAATGGGAACAAGGGGTTGTTTGGTCTTGGTTCAGGGCTGCCGTGTCTTCTCAGAAAACCATCTTTACAGCTTTAAATCAGGTCTGGTTTAAAATACAAACAAAATCCCACCTGGGCTGGACCCCCTCACAGTATTAAACCACAGTATGATAATGTGGGATTCAGTGCTAAATTTCCTGGTGTTGAAAATGCTCCATGAGCTCAGACTCTTTTTCACTGGAATAAAATCACTTGTTTTCCTCGAAACAAAGCTGATTTTCAGATGTGAGGGCATTGCTGTCACTAGCTGGGCTCTCTGTTAATCTGAATTCCTTACTCCAGTGGGTGGATTTCTCCACGTTTGACATTGTTCTGGAGGCAGCAGTGACAATTGTACTGGGCCAGGACAGAAGGGCTGTACACAACAGCTGTGGATTAGCATTTCTTCACACCCCCACGTGACTTGTGTTAAGTTCTAAAGAAAAATGATGATGACATCTACCTCTGAAGCTGTCCTTGTCACAGCCACAGAGAATTCATAAAATCAGGACTTAAATTTTCATCGTCACTTAGCTGCAGTAACAAAATAAAGTTCAAGCCCAGTGGTTAGATCGGACCTAGATCAGGCCTAGGTGGGTAGAACTGGCATTTGGCTGTGAATATATGTCCTCCAGGTTAACCAAAGCCAGGTTTAAACTGTCCAGTCTTTGGGGATTTCAACCAAACTCTGCTAAAATCACATAAACCCCAAAGAGCACCTGGGGGCTTCGTGTTACAGTCACTCACTCTGTGGCCAAAACCGGAGTTCTTTCCTTTTTTAAAGGCAAGCAGCAGGAAAACTCACTCCTTTCACTGACCACACCTGGATATCTTTGTGATTTCACTTTGTGAAAAAGTGAACTGCACTTATATTTAAAGTTAACAATAGTGACTGAAAACCTGAATGGGATTTATGTGCTCACTTTGAGTATGTGACTCAAGCCCAGGTGGCCCTTTCACAGCCCCACTCTGCCACACAAGGCCACTCACTCTTCCACAGGCAGCCCCACATCCTAAACCTCAAAACTCTGCATTTCAGCAGCCCCATTTTACCTTTCCTTTCTAATTTTGTTCCCTGGTACAGCCCCTGACTAACAATCTTCCTTCTCCCTCAGGTGCTTTGTACTCCAGGAAGTTCACCATAGATGGGGAGCAGATCTCTCTGCAGGTGCAGGATACTCCCTTTGTCTCACTGGAGGTAAAACAACTGCTCTGTGCTTTTCAACACACTTCTGTCTTGTGTTTGTTGCCAGCACTTCCATCTGCAATTAACTCTGCTTAGCAGCAGGAGAATATCTGGGCTCAAACTCAAGGCTAATCAAGATACCTTAAACTCCACCAAAATGAGCTCTTGAAGGTGTTAAATCAGGCTCCTTCAGGAATAAGTCAAAATTAAAACAATTTTCTTTCCAACAAACAGCAGTAAAATCACAATCTGGTTCCCTCCTGCCAGCAGCTTGATTGTTTTATTTTCTGCCAAGTGGTTTCTGTCCCTGTGTGGCAGAAAATTCACCTGCCCAGAGGCCCAGCTGGCTCAGCTTGGACCTTCCTCCACACCCAAAGTCTCCCAGATTTAGAGAAGTGTTTCTTTCCAAGGGTCCAGGCTTCACAGCATTGCCATTTTCAGCTATGGTGCTTTGCCCTGCTTTCCTTACTCTGGTTTTAAATGTAATTAATTCACTGTTGTTAAGGTGTTAGCACTTATCACACTCCTTTTCCTATCAGTGTTTTAGATAGTCTGACTTGGTGGTATTAAAGATCTTTTCCAAACTTAATGATTCCATATTCAATTATGACATTAAAGACCCTTTCCAATCTTAATGATTTGATTATTCTATAATACTCTAGATTTAAAAAATTAAATTAATAAATTAAATAAATCAAATAAATTAATAAATTAAATATGTATTTTCTATTACATTCTAGATTTAATAAATTAAATTAATAAATTAAATTAATAAATTAATAAATTAAATAAATTAAATATTGATTATTCTATTAGATTCTAGATTTAATATTTTACAAGGAACCTCTTTCTAGAAATGTTTTTCCAAACAGGATTTATGTTCTCTTCACGTGCAGAACAAGAGGATGAAAATAGTGTCAAAGCAACAGGAAAGGTAGTGAAATTTGGGGTTACACGAACGGTGGAAATCTCATGATTAACAATTCCTACAGAACAGCAGAGATTTCATGATAAAACCAGGAATTCTCATTGCACCACCAAGCTTAAACTTCAAGGTGTGGCCTTAACCTCAGTCCAAACTTAGATTTGGCCAATATATGTTGGGATGGGAGCATCACCTTCTCTCCTCGTGTGTCAGGCTGCCCTGGCCAGTTCTGCACCCCTTGTTTTACCTGCACAGACCCACATGTGCACCTCTGTGCCTTGGAGCTCTTCCATCCTCAATTTACAGAATGGGACAAGCAAAGCTCCCATTTCCAGCTTCTCTGACTGGAAGTGGATTGAAGGGGAAATCTTTGGTGAAATCCCACTCTCTGCTGGGTTGGGGGGCACAGGGCAGGAGCCTCATTTGCTCTGGACACTCAGCAGCAAATAAAAGTTGCAGTGGAAGCTCTCCAAATACTCAAGTGGGATTTAGCAGCACAAAGGTCTTTGCCAGCTTGTCCTGCAGAGAGGAGCTGTGGGAGTGATTTGGCACCACTGGGGTTGCCTGATAAACATTTAACAAAAGGAATCCCCCTTTCTCTGCTGTCCCATGGAGAAAGGAGGGGCTGGAATCGTTTAACTCACATTTCCAGACCACATAGATGAAATTTTCCTGTTTAAATTGATGCTGTGTCCTACAGGCCAGTGACTCCAGAGCTGCACAAAATTTAGTCAAGCCAACAGCTGAGGTTTCTTAGTCAGAAATGATTTTAAATCAGTTAAAAAGTTTCATTTTATTTGTCCCAGTCCAAGGTCTGTTCCAAAATCTCCCACAGGCACCCTGATCTCACCCTGTGTCTGTTTGCTTCGTATGATGTGTCTGCAATAATTGAAGGGACTGTGTCAGAACAGTTTAACACTGAGAAAAAGTCAGATTTTTTATAAAAATCCTTAAGGAAGAGAGCTTCCTGCACTCTGCAGGCTGAACACAGTGTTTCAGGAGGAAATCATGTGGAAACCCTGGGGATTCAAGCCCCTAGAAATGTGCAAGTGTAAGAGGGAAACAGAAGCAGATGAGTGGTTTTGTTGGGTGATTCATGTCTGCTTGGCCTATACACTCCAAAGGCATGTGTGTTTCAAAATTCATTCTGGAGCAGAGATTTCCATTTAAAAAGTAGCCCATTAGCCTTTGATTTCCTGAATAAAGCATTCCACTTGGGATTATCCATCCATCCATCTGGGTGGGCCTAGCTGGAGTGAGGGAGTTTCTGCTCTTAGGCCTCTCTGAATGTGCACCTTCTCCAAACCCATTTTCAAAGCTTGCCAGCGCAATTAGGGTTTTTTGGTTTTGTTTTGTTCGGCTTTTTTGTGCCACAAAAGGGTTTTGCTGGTGAAAAGAGGCTTCCAGGACATGGAGAGTGGCTAATTATCCCCAGACTGGCTACAGCCCAGATGCCAACAGTGCAAATTGCCCTTCTTCCCACAGTCTGGCCTGGCCTGGCTGGAGCTCACTCTCATTAACCTTTCCAACAAGGCTGCTGGGGAGGATCCCTCTTCATCATTCTGTTTTGGGGTTTGGGGAGCAGTGATAAGAGCATTTGATAACCAATTTCACTGCTCAGAGGATTTAGCTGTGAGCTGGCAAGGGCAAAGAACCTCAAGGCGTGACGAGCCAGGGCCTCCGTGGGCAATAATTAAATATTTACAAAGGGCACTTGGCTGGCAGAACTCCTGAGGAAAGTTTTAAGCCTAATTTATACTCTGACCCTTCAGAAATTCTGCTTCCTCCTCACAGAAAAGCTTGTCCATAGTTCTTTTACTGTCTGGTCTACCAGAGGAAAACAGATCCATTTTACTCATTCTTTTCCATCTCTGCTCTCTGAAGTTAGGCTTTATAATTCATATTTAGGCCTAAATAAAAATGGTCTGTTTAGGGAAAATATTCAGCACTAAATTCTGTTAGAATTAATGTGAATGGCAGATATGTATTATGTAGATTAATAGATAATGGAACACATTTTCTATTAGTCCTACAGAAGCTGATGAAAATTTCTTGGGTAGAATTTAGCAACAATAATAAAAATTTGAGCTCTGTATTTGTGATGTTAAACGCCTCTTAAAATACTAAATTTCTACCAGCTTCATGAAGAGCCGTGCACAGAATATGCTTGTTGGATATAAAGAAAATTACAATGTTGCAGAAATGTAATAATTGACGGAAATGTAATAATTGACAGTTCTTCCAAGGCAAGCATGGCTGCAGCAGGGATCTCCCTCTCTGGCTGGGTTATCCCAATCCCAGCAGGGATAACAAAGAGGGGAGGATTAGCTGGAAATAGCTTCATCCTGACAAGTGACTTGATCTCTTTTCAAGCCCACAGTGCTGTATTCAGTTTTCAATTCCCAGAGCTGCTGGTGGCTGGGGCTCTAGACAGGAGTGGTGATGGACTCAAGAAATGTGTGACCAGGAAAAAATGATATAAACCCATCCCTGCTCCACAAATTACCAATGAGATTTCACCTGGTTTTCAGTTCTGGTCATTGGTTCTTGGTAACAAATTGATTTTTTTTCAAAATAACTTTGCCTATCTCTAGACCTGCAAGGCAGGAAAACCTGGCAGGCTTCACCAGAGTTAGTGAGAGCCTCTGTCCATGGAGACAGTGAATAAAAAATTGGAAAATGCCCTAAAAGTCACACTGGGTGGCAACTTTTCAGTTGTCATGGTGTGACAAACCTGATGGACTTTTAATGCTCTTGCTGTCCCCACAGTCAGGGTGTGAGTTTCTGGCTGGCTGGGTACAAGAGAATACAGAACTTTTCAAAGCAGTATTTTGGCTTTTCTCTTCAACCAGTTTGCTTTGACCCCTCTCCACTCCACGTCACTGCTTTCCTGCAGTGTGGAATCAGAGAATCATGGAATCAGTGAGGCTGGAAAAGACATCCAGGACTGAGTCCAAGCCGTGACCGATCCCCACCTTGCACTGAGTGCCACATCCAGGCATTCCTTGGGATGGGCACTCCAAATCTCCCCGGCAATGCCTTCCAATGTCCAATCAATGTTCCAGTCATGAAGAAACTCCTCCTGATATCCAACCTAAACCTTCCTTGGAGCGGTTTGAGGCTGTTTCCTCTTGTCCTGACCCTGGGAGCAGAGCTTGGGCCTTCTCCTTTCAGGGAGCTGGAGGGAGTGACCAGGTCCCCCCTGAATCTCCTTTTCCCCAGGCTGCCCACCCGGCACAGCATCTCCAACACTGGGAATTTCCCTGGCACATCCAGAGCGCTTTCTGGGAGTTCATGAACAAACAGGCCCCTGTTCAAACCGAGCCCTGTCTGGGGCCATTTCCTGACGTGCAAATTGTTTTGCAGGACGACACGGACAGCATCTGCTGCCAGGAGCAGATAAACCGCTCGATCTACTGGGCCGACGGCTTCGTGTTCGTGTATTCCATCACGGACTACGAGAGCTTCCGCCTGCTGCGGCCGCTGCACCAGCACATCCGCAGGATCCACCCCAACGCCAACATCCCCCTGCTGCTCATGGCCAACAAGGGCGACCTGCTGAGGGCCAGGCAGGTGTCCTCCAAGGAAGGGCTGCAGCTGGCCACGGAGCTGGGCGGGACGTACTGTGAGGTGTCGGCGCGGGAGAACTGCGAGGGCGTGCACGAGGCTTTCCAGCAGCTGTGCCAGGAGCTCAGCAGGAGCAGCAGCAGCTGCAACGGGGAGAAGAGGAGAGGTCTCCACCTCGTCCGGCCCAAGTCGCCCAACATGCAGGACTTGAAGAGGCGTTTGAAGCAGGCTCTGACTTCCAAAGGCAAATCTGCCACCACGCTCTGATGAGGCCGCCCAGGAATTGTGTTCCAGAGCCCTGGATATAAAAAAAGCAACGAGCTGGGGAAACGGGGCATCAATTCAGCCCATCAGGTTGTGTGAGAGCCTCTTTCGTTTGGTCTTCACATCTTTCTCAAAAGGCCCCTGCTCGTTCAGCAAAGGAACTCGCAGAATTTGCTCTCTGGTGCGGGGATTTTGACACCGTGGTTTAAAAGAAGAGATCGTTCCGAATTATTTCTTTCTTTTATATTCTTTTTTTCCTTTTTCTTTTTTTTTTGGAAAGGGGTGCAGTCGAATATCTTGGTGTTAAAAAGTGGGTTTTGTTAATGAGAATTGTGAAATCTTACTTTTAAGACATGTAACTTCCCTTGGGAATGGTTGTGTTCCCAAACACAGGCAGCGAACTACAGCAGGACATGAGGAGAGCGATGGGAGCAAGAAAAATGGACCAGATCTGCTTCAATGCAAGACTGGGAAATAAATTAATTAATTCATTTACATGAAGAGCATAAATAGTGAAAAGTATTCATTCAAAGAAAGAGTTCTGAGCAGTGGGGAGAGATTTGTTCATATGCAAACTTAAGCCTTACAGTGTCTCTTTAAAGGGAGATTTTTTTTAAAAAACAAATCACTATTTTTACAGATTATTGTTGTTTAAAAGCACAGTGACTGCTTCTGAAAGTGATTATTTGGTTAAAATACAAACTTGTGGCAGCATTTTGCAGTCAGTTTCTCCATGGCATTTCTCATTTTTCTGAAGGTTTCTGACATTGGGAAAAGGGAAAAATAGATCAGAGTGGTTTAAAATCCGCCAAAAAATGGACTGCACTTATGAAGAGCAAGGAGGTCACCTAAAACTCATAATTTTTTTTCCCAAACCAGTTAGACTTCAAGTTCAAAATGCTTTTAAAAAAACAAAGCCTTCATAGGAAGCACATTTACATCGTTACGTTGTTTGGGATTTGTTTTTAAGAAGAAAAGTTTTTTATGGTGCCTGAAATTTTTGGCTTCGGGAATTCATTATTTTGTTGTTTGAGTTCAATCCAGGCTTCCCTGAACAGCTCCCAGAGCATCCCAGCCTGTCAGGACATATCCCAGTGGCAGCGTCTGGTTGTGCCTCAGCACGTCCCAGGATTTGGGGCTGTATCCCATAAAGGGATTTATGGAACCAATAACGACAGCACGGAGCTCCCAGCACTCTGCTCTCAGTGAGGGTGGGCTTGGACCGTGTCAAATCCATGATCCACCAACCTCTTCTTCAAGCAGGGCAGATGAGCAATTCAGGGACCATGAAAGGAAATCAAGCTCAGTGATTTATACTCAGGGACACTGGAGGGAAACCCGAGTTTGATGGATATGGAAAAACACTCCCAGCTGCAGTTTCATCTGAGCTAAATCAACCTTTTCCTCATTAGGAGCGGCAAAAATGGAGTCTGAGGAGTATTTGTATGGCTCAGGGCTTTAAAATGTACTTTGAATTTTTCATTTGCCTATATTAGACAGCTCTAGCCATGATTTTATCACCTGGATTTGCCTTATCTCCAGCTCACTTTCTGTTTTATTTATTGTTTTCCACAGCTGCTCATCTGAGAATGTCTTGTGTTCTGATTCCTTTAAGTCTTTCATTCCCACAAATGACCTGCACCTGTTTTTAAATTCAGTTTCAAGTGGGATTAGGAGGGGAAAAGTTGCATCATCCAGAAAGGGACTCAAATGATATCAGGGAATTTTTACTTTGGCTTATGCTTAATTAACAATTTGTTGTTTGAGCAGTGTCATTAATCATCCCAGGCACTTTGGTATTTATGGCAGAGAATTTCAACGTTTTAAATTAATAATAGCACAGCTCAAATATTGAACATGAAGATTCAATAGCTCAAATATTGAATCTAGAGATTCAATGGCTCAAATATTGAGTCTCAAGATTCAATAACATGGAATAGAGCAGTTTGCAAGACACACAGAAACTGAAGTATTTTTGTATTGGAAAAATGATCACCAGTTTTGAATAGCAATTAACAATTTTGCCACTCCAGTACTGTATAACAAGGGCTAAATTTGCTGCAGACAATTTGCTGACATTGGTTTTCATGAAAGCCTAAGAGAATTTGTGCTCCAGCTTGGTAGATTTGTTTGCAGCTTCCTTCAGCTCAAATCCTTTCTGATTTGGGAAGAAATGTCACCAAAATTCAGTGTTTTAGTTTTGTTAGTGATTAATAAAAACATGCAAGGTCTTCCCTGAGCAGTGAATAAAATGGCTTTTTTATGTGTCACATATTTAAATATTCATTATTTACACTAAAATCTATTGTTTCCCCATCTTACAACCTAAAACACTCTGCTTTGGAAATATTCCTTATGCAAATAAGTATTCCCACATTCCTGTGGGGGGAAAAAAAGGAAATCTACATTTTGGCTAAAACCAAAAGAAGATTGAAACATTTAAGTCTCCTCTTAGGTACTAACATGTGGCAAACATTTATTCTGCTACAGAAACTTTAGCATTTCCTTTGTTCATTGACCAGGAGTACAAACACTGGTTTTAAGCCAGGACTAACCATCTACAGAGGGCAATAAAGCTCAGTATTTTTATTTGGGGCGCAGCAGTTGAGCCCCAGGACAGCTCACTGTGCCCCAGAGGCAAGGCTGAATGGCTGCACAAGAAGCAGGGAGAAAAGAATGCTATAGAATTAAGTGTCTAAAAATAATCCTGTACGAGATCGAAGTTTAGTCATGTAGAACCTGATCCTGAATTAGAAACTTCAGGCTGCCAGGGGAAAACATGTATTCTACTGAAGGTTTAAAATTAACCCTCTAGAGAGAAAGTACTGCCATAAAGTCAAGAGGAGAGAGGGAAAAAAAAATAGATTTGAGAGTGTGGGGTGATTTTTGGATATCAAAGAAAATTCTCCTCTCAGTTCTATTGATCTAGTCCAGATTAACTCCCCTGGAATCAATAGCAACAGCAGTGAGCTGTAGAATTCCTTCTTTTAAATTTTTTTTTTCTCATCCCTCATCATTCTCCTGAGCATTTTAAATCTTTGTGCACCATCTGTTTTTCAAGATGGTTTTCCAGCTGGGTTTACTTGGACACAAAGCAGTTGAGTGATTTGCCCCAAGGTTACACAGCTGAGCAAGTACTCGAGAGGAACTCCAACCCTGTGTCCTTTGTAATTAATTCCCAACTCTCTACAACAACTGGAAGACCCTACACCTCCCTCAAGGGATGCACACAACACAGGGAGTTGTATTTCACGGGAATGTAATTAAAAGTTGGGAAAAGTCTCTTAATTTTCAGCTGTGTTAGGGACTGAGCAAAGTCTCAGTGACAGGTTGGCTCCTCACAATTACAGCAGCACCAAGACAGGCTTGGGAGCCACTGAAGATATTTGTTAATGGTTATTTCTGTGCTCCTGTCAGCTGCATTTCTCACAGGTTTTCCACATTTTCCATGGAAATGCAGTGGGATTTGGGAGAAGGGAAAATCAGGCTCCATTTTTTAACTTTTCCTGTGACTTGATTATTGATCTTGGCCAGATCTCTTAATTGGAATGACTCTGCCCATAAGTCACAGATAGCTGTCACACACTTCAGCACCCACAGGAGAGAATCACCAAGGAGAAAGAAAGGAATTGCCCCCATTTGCATAGGGATGGCTGCAATATTTACATCTGAACTCACACTTTGTTTCTGCATCCCTTTAAAACTCCTGGATCTCACATTTACACCTGGAGCAGGGCATAAAACCAGAAAATTCAGATCCTGATTTCAGGGAACAGCTCAGACAGAAATATTTGTATCCTGGCTGCTCCCAGGGCTTGTGTCAGGTGTACAAATGAAGAAGAAGGAATAATTTTCTGAGACATCAAAAGAAATGTGCTCTGTACCAGAAAACAGCTGTCTAATTGTTTTCCAAGGCAAAATGGGTGGCTGCCAGCTGATTGTTACTGCTGGATTTCCCTCTGCCCACTGGCAAAGTAGATTTGGGGTCAAAATCCCACTGCTGTATTTGCAGAGCCAGCACACGGCCCTGAGGCAGCGGAACACAATGAAATACTTGCTAATATTTCATGTTCATGGTCTCTCAGAGCTGTTCTGAGCTGTGCCTGTCTCCTCTGGGGCTCACACAGGAAAACCACGGAATTAAAGTTTAAAAAAAAGATATCCAGCTTCACTTTAAAAGCTCAAAAGCAGGGACAATGGGGTAGAGAAGATGATCCAATCTATCACTAATGGAGACAAAGCAAGACTCTCCCTTTGATAATTTCTGCCTGGCTCTGCCCTCCTTGCCCCTTTCCATTCATGCCTTTGTTCTCATTTAACTTAGCAAGCAAAAACTTCTCAATTCTTCTTCCTTTGGCTTAGAAACAGACTTTTGCTGGCTAGTTTAAAATTTATTTTCAAGTATTTGAACTCCAAACACGGTTTATAACAAAAGAAGAGTATCTACTTAGTCTTTTGACCTTATTTACCTAAAACATTTTAAAGCACAGCTACAACTCTGTGCTTTGAATTCCTGCCACTTCTCCCCAAGAGCTCTCACTGGCTTAGCCCAATATTTCCTCCCCTTGTTTTGTACTTAAAATGTTGAGCTTATTAATGCAGCAGAGTCATTGCTTACTTAAACCTGTTTAGTTCTTAAATTTTGCTGCTCTCCTCTGAAATCCCTTCGGTTTAATCAGACAGATTCTCTTCTCTAAGCGGCTGTGCAAGCGGAAAAGGAGCTCAGAACAGCTGGTGATTTTCTGCTCTGTCAGATTTTAGCCCATTATTGAAGATTTTGGGATAAACAGGAGAGTGGAAAATGATGCAGCAAACCCACTTCTCATCTCCCTTCATCTCTAGCTGGTGCAATAATTTTATCTGTCATGAAGTGGACAAAGTTCACCCTAAATGATAATGCTTTTTCCTACAGATGGAAAAAACACCAAACATGAAGCAGAGAGCTGAGCTGATAGACTGTAAACCCTGGGATCCAATTCATTCAGGAGCTGTCACACCAATCTTCTCTTCTTTAGAAGATACATTTTTTACATTTTCCCTCTTATCCAAAAGGGTTTCAAGAGGGAGCCTCTGCATCTCATCACACAGACACTTCCCATCCCCTCCAGCAGCTCGGGGGGAAGCTGCACATTTTCCAAGGATGATGGGTGAAGCTATTCATGTCTGTGCTGTTGTGAGGGATGATTGTGGAGACTGTTCCTAAGGATGTTTTTCTTCTCTCTGGGCAGTAATGCAGAACACTCACCATCGGTAACCAGTCATTTGGAAAAGATATTAGCGGGGTTTTTGCTGAATCTGGAGACACTCTGTACCTTCTCTGCTGGTTAGAAAGCTCACCAGATAAGCAGAGGTTGGGTTTTCTCTGAGGTTGCCTTTGAACTCTCACAGAGAGTGTTGAATTATTTCACTTTTGATTGTGATCCAAGTTTCCAGAGGCCACCACTCTTTGCTGCTCTGCGTTGTATTTCTCTTCAAAAGCCAATAATTTCCCATGTCATGATGAAAAAGCTAATTTGGAACATCACAATTATAATGTAACAGCCTATTCTCTTGGTTCCCTGTTTTTGATGAAGGTCATGGCTTTGCATTTGTTTGGGACCTGAACTCAAACTCATGCTCTGTCAGCAAAGGTGTTTGATCAGGCTGTCCAGAGCAGCTGTGGCTGTCCCTGGATCCCTGGAAGTGCCCAAGGCCAGGCTGGACAGGGCTTGGAGCAGCCTGGGATGGTGGAAATTGTCCCTGGCCAGGGCAGGGAGTGGGACTGGATGGGGTTTAAGGTCCTTTCCAACCCAAACCATTCCATGACTCTTCTGGTTTTGAATGAACAAGACTCTCCACTCTTTACCCATCAGTACACGGCACACAGTTCTGTGACTGCCAGTAAAGAGCAGTGGGATCAGGGAATAAAAGAGAAATCCAATCTTTCAATTGCTCTCCCCTCTGCCTTGATTTTCCATCAGGGACACTGACCCTCCCTCAAGCTCTGGGAAAGGTGATAGGCTTCTGGTGCTGCTGAATATAGAGAAAGTGATGGTGGCAATTCTGCCTGGACAATCCGTGCTCCAGTCCCTCCATCTGGGAGTGCTGGAAGGGATCAACATCTGTAGGAACCTCCCAAATGCCCAAAAAAAAGGTTACTGGGATCTTTCAGCTCTCTGAGGCTGAACCAAAATGTTGTTTCTGTGAACTACACATCTGGAGATGCCTTGCTGAAAAGGAAACTCAGAATCCAGGCTGGGAGAGCTGTTAGTGCTTCCCATCCACATCTGTTTGGAGCAGTGGTGAAAACCCCACGTCTTCATCCCCTTCCAGCCCCCGTGGTTCCATCAGGCCAACGCCAAAGTCACTTCTGCTCCTGAAGGACTTCCAGGGTGCTGCTGTTCCTGGTGCAAACACTGGAATGGAGGGTTGGGGTTGCCATTCTCCTCCACCCTTTCAGCTGCCAAGACCACCTATGAAGCCCAGAACCCGAGATACCAAATATATCTGAGAAGTGTTCACCAGTGAGTGCTGGAGAGCAGGAGCTGGCTCTCAGGAGAGCCCTGACCTGCCAAAAGAGCAGCTTTTAAAGCCCAGAATACATATTTGTGTCAGGCCTATGAAATGATACATTTTATATGTAAGTGCTGCTCTGTGGGATTTATTTATCAGGTGGCTTTAAAGAAAGCAAGAAGTTTTGTTACTAAATCCGGAATTCTAATTATTGCAAGGCCTCATTTTATCTATTTTCGTAGCTTTAATTTTAGCCATTTGCACTTCTGAACCTCAAACCGTGGAGTCAGAGGTTCATCTCTTCATACATTTGGAAATGCACATTTTCCCCACATTGCAAATACATCTCAGCACTGGAAAAATCAAAAATCTTGAGTAGGGCTGAGATTGTGTTCAGTTTGCAAAGTCCAGACACTCCTGAATCCCAGTGCTGTGGCTTCGAGCCACTGGTAAGACAAGAATTGACATTTAAAAAGCATCAGTGCTCCACTTACACGTGGTTTGCAAGGAGTTTGAAAGCCAAGGCATCCCAGCATGAGGGAAAAGGCTCTCAAAGGGTTAAATGCTTCCTGCATTTAATCTAGAATCACGTAATGTGGAATGAATGTTTCAGCTCAAACTGTTTCCTCACTCTGACAGTTTCATGGTGTGAGGTCAAAGTGTGGGAGAGATGGGGAGAGGAGAGGGGGAGCATGGAGTGGTGAGCTGCTAAATCCAGAGAGACACATCCAGAGAAATAAAAAAGATGGATTCTCCAGCAGCCTCAGCCCAGCTGGGA